AAATTCATTTGTGTATATAGACATAAACATTGTTTAGGCCTCGATAATGTAAAGGCTTAGGACGCTCGCACGGAATGCAAGAGATCCGGGTTGCAAGACTCCCGGCCGAGGTAATATTTTTCGGAATTAATTATTTACAGATTAATTATTTAATATATTATTCAACATTATTAAGATCGTTTCGAAGATGCGAATAAGCATCAAAAATTTGTTAAATTGCTAGTCAATTTTAACTCGTGATATTACTACGGTAGTTTAGTAGAGTTAGCGTTTTTCAAGACCGAAAAATCATTTCTGAGGGACTACGTACGTAGTATATAAATTCACACAAGAATCATACGAGTACTTAAGATTCAGCTAGACCGTTTAAGACTTTGATTTCTATAATTTGTGTTATCATACACATACACGGTCCTGTAATATATTATATTGTAGATATTTTTTATTTGCATAAAAATAAATTTCACAGAGAATTCATTTTATAACTATAGAATTATCTAACTAAATATTTTATTACTAAATATACCACATAAGCTTTACATTAATTATCAACGTTTTGTCATCTCGCTCGTTAAATTTTTTACGTTCTTCGCTTTTTATGAAGAAACTTTATGCTTTCACACAGTATAATATAACACATACGTATAGAATTCTCTTTTTCATAGTATTTTAATATTATTTTTGTACTTCTAAATAGGGCTATAAATTACTTTAATCGTGTCATTAGTATATTGAAGTACTCTCATCAACTTCGTACATTACACGTCACATGCATGCTAAAGCAAATTTCATTATCACATTTTTTACGAAATGATCGAGGGTTACGTATAGCAGTGGACCAGGACGAATCGCTCCATCAAAAGCGGGTGCGTGTGAGAAATCGAGATTACTTATATCCACGCTCATAAATCGATGGGGATGGTCGACAATCGAAAGCAAGCGTGCGCGCCGAGGGTCAGCGATTCTTTTTGCGATACTTTTGAAACAGGACGGACTTCGTTGTTCCTCATTACGCGCAATCCGCGCACACGGTGCGTGCATAAACGCGCTGCAGACGTCAGTTTTCTTTGTGATAGAGCCCACGTGCGCATAATGGGCCATTACGCGTACACAGGGAAATAACGCGATTTGCATTTCCTAGCGACGTTCTTTACGTGGCAACTACGTAGAAATTGCGCGCGGGCACGAACGAAATTGTCCGCGACGAAAATCGCAAAGTTTGCCAATTTATTGGAGCAGATACGCGCAGCAAACGATTAGATACTTCAATCAATGTCCAGTGAACCTGTACTTATTTATTTCTCTGCGTTGTGTATATTACGTATAATGGAATTAAATTTTTTTAGAAGGAGAAATAATTACATTTTTTATTGTTACGTAATTACAGATTGCGATCATCATCGGGAAAAATTAACAGCTAGTAAATTATAAATAAACTATCATTAATTCATTAATGACGTTATTAAACAAACTGAATTACTAGATGGTTTATTTATCTAAAAAAATTATAGCGATGTTCAATGCACATTTTCCGCATCGCACTTCAACAATAGAAAGTGGAAATTATTAAATATAACTTATTTATTTGAATTAGAGTATAACTCGTATTTATTATTACAAAATAATATTTGAATAGTTTGATCATGAATAACGATCTGTTCAATCAATATATTCATATATCATATTTATTATTTAAATGTAGTCGTCTGTCTTACCGTTTATACTTGCGACATACACTTGTTTGCATATCATTGCCGAACGCTCGAGGGAACCCAAGATCTCTTACAAGATCTTAATAGACACACTGTAGTCTGTTTTTCAACGAACAACATGAATCGTATCGTAGACACTAGGATGTAAATATACGCAAAACTTAATTTCGCTACTATATAATATTATACTTATTAACAGTTCTCGTGGTCTCAATGGGTTGTTTTTTCTTTCACACTGCATCTACGTTGCATCGAGGACATACATCGATAATCGACGTTTAATTTCTAATACATAAACACTTTATCAAGGCACGGAGAATCATTAAATGCAGCTTCGGACAACCGGTACAAACTGCATAATTACAATCTTTTTTACGAGAGGGCTGCTCCGTATTAAGACTCGAGAAATGATCCTCATGCAACATATGTATCCTTTTTTTTGCAATCCCGTTTGGGTGAAGAAACGGGAATGATAATCCGATTGCATTATCGTCGAACAATTATCATAATGTAGCTGAAATCCATTGCTAATGCATCAGATCTGATTAACTTTGATGAAGTATTGTGCGCAACTCAATGTTAACTCTACAAAATTATTCAGACAATTAAATTTTTTTATTATTTCACAAAACATAAATTGATTATTGTGTAAAATAAAATTAAAATATATAATATAACGAAAGAATTATCGTTCATAAAAAATGTACAAAAGAAGTCGTTGTGTGTGTTTAAATTATAGATTTTTATAATTTAGATAACACATCTCTAGTTGAACTCCTATAAATCTAATAAGTATTCATCATTCAACAACAAAATTATCCTAAATATTTATTTCGACTTTGTTAACAATCCTGAGGAACGCGACACATTGCATGATTTAAAAGCATCAGCTTGTGAATTACAAAATCTGAAAACGATATGTGATAATTGTCTAATAAATTTTCTAGCCCGCACCTTTCTACTCGAAAACTAAACGTTAAAATAATCAGAGTTCTCTTCCTCCCTGTTCTTTATGTCGCAATGATGCTGATCGACGAAATCCGAGCGCAATTCGCCGCGTCCCCGTATCAGCCTCGATCGACGAGGTCTCAATTAAAGAGACCGCGAGGAATCCGCCAACGCGCGGCCAATAAACAAACTGTCGGATTGGTGCTCTGTGCGATGTCGTCAGCGCCAATTCACCGCATCAGTTCGAATAATGCCGTTGAGTGGCGTCTCTGGTTTCCTCCTCGCGTCGTCTTTCGTCTCGTTTTCTCTCTTCCTCTCTCTCTCTCTCATTCTCATTGCACGCGTTAACCGCTAAATGCTGTGGCGCCTCGTTGACCGAGCACCACCATAAATTGACCAATCTTCAGTAGTGGGATCCC